CTTTTCGTGCTCGTTTCGGTCAAATCTCGTTTCTATTCTTCGTATTCTTCACGTATAAGTCCATCTCTATTGGTGTGTGACCCTGTAGGCCCATTCGCAGTGGCAGCAGCCTCGAGAACCATTCCTGATCTACAAGTCATGGTTAGCCCCTAGCAAGACCCTATGACCACCCACGTTGAATTGAGTTAGAGGTGATCTAACCGAGGCAATAACAGCTCGAGTTCTGATCCTTTATCTCACGATATCATGTGTTGAACAAGGGCATGGTTTGAGCCACCCTTCAACTTCAATCGCTTTCTCGTCTTGGTAAATCGACTAGTAAAATAGATGCAACTTCATCTATAGCGTGGCCACGCATTTTCATAGTCCGACTTTCACGAGAGGGCCCAGCGATATCTCTCCTGTTAAGGAGGTGACAAGTCCCATATTGCATGTCTACTATCTCCATATGATTCGTGAACGTATCTGATCAACGCCGTTATAATCATCCGGTTAAAGACGACGTTTGACGCAGTCAAGACACGCCACTCCTCATATCAGATACTCTAGACATCTCAGGTCTGAGGATCCAAGAACGAACCGCTGTATGAGATTCAAGTCATGACTCTGTCCATGTGACAATCTCATGCGGGTCATCCAGTCACTCGTTCACAACGAGTACCCATGATTGTGATATGCATCCAATGCATCAATCACACCTCATGCTAGTCTTAATTCATCATTGTTCCCACAATGATAACTGACCAGGGAGTTTAGAATCATTCTATAATGATTCAAGGATGCCGAAATATAACAAACATGTCAATCATATAACGGGAATGTAACGCATTCATAAATCAATGAATCAATACAAAGTCAAAATGTCATATCACGGATCATCCTAGAGCATTACAACCAACATCGTGATCGAACGAGTTCTTCAATTGATACAGGCCCCAGATCGATTGAGGTAAGTGTTCTAACATTTCTACGATTCATAAGAAGCATGGTTCTAGGGTTTAATAAATTTTTGTTTTACATCCGCTGCGCAAACCCTAGAATCGATCTCTTAGGAATAGGATCCGCTCTAGAGATCCCAGGAAACTCAACATATGGGACTATACAGTCAAAGATAACTAAAAGGAATTGATTGAGTTACTCATAGCAACAAGATACATATACCTTTTCGGTTGCCCATCTCGAGAGAACTCCAAAGTTAAAGAGGCTTGCTCTGGAGTAGTCTTAGGATGGGTGATATCTTGGGAAGTGCTTTCCGGGGATGTGTGCGAGTGTGGACAAAACATGCTAAAAGGTCTTGTATTGGTGTGTGAGGACAACTTTGATATTTCGTAGCGGCCTCGAGTCGTTACACTGAACTAGACGTGATTCATCCTTCTTTGGTATTAGAATGCTCTCAATGTCCTGAAATGAATGGTCAAACAAATCATTATTAATACTCTTTGTAATTTCATTGATAACTTTGTTTCGACTTCACTAATCAACCATTTCAAAAATATACTTGTGTTCTACCTATCTTTGTCAACCCTTTTTTCAATCCATACTTCTTTTTTGAGGTGAAACATCTTTTGCATATCCGCGGACAGTTTCGGTTAACATTTCCTCACAATGACACGTCACAGTACCATCCGCCATGATGAAATTTAGAAATACATTCAAATGATAACATTTGCAATATCAACCACATAATATTAATAATATATTTATTTACAACTGTTTCTTTTGATTGATTAATTTAAATCATTTACCGTGAGCAAAATAATGAATCCTGATAAATTCCACTGATTGACCAGTTTTCTATACTTGTTCAGATAATTCAGCACAAAACCAAGAACACTTTCGAAGGTGAACGTCCCCCAAGAAAATTCTTCATAAACCTCCACATTATCAACAATCTTCAACAGAAATAGATTCACATATTTAGAATGTTGGTATCCTATCACATAACTAAGTAACAATAAGTAAGTCATCTTCAACCTGTCATCTTTTTCATGTTTAGGCAATTCTCCAAACTTTGTCATAACTTCCGCTTTCTAAACCTTTTCAAAGCTTTCTTGAGCAAAGTATTTTCTATAGAAATCGATCCATCCAATTTCTTCCCAATTTTTAGGCATTAGAGAATACTTCAGCCCACAAAGAAGTGCATGTTCCCACAAGACGTATCTAATTAGAACTCCGTTAATCATGAACCACAAGTCATTATCTTTCTTCGTCTTCACCGATCTGTTGATGAGTGCCACCATTAAACTCACCTTTAATATCTGCTTCTTTGGGATATGGAAGATATGCCAAAGTTGCGATCGTTTGGTGAAATACTTTGTCTCCTCATCATGTCATATGGTTCTATAGGAATTCCACTGCATCTATGTGAAAATACTTTGACGATACCTTCATTGACATCTTGTTCATATCGTCAAATCCGTAATAGAATCCTACTTTCGGTATATCAACAACCTGTAATAAAATGAGCGCATTCAGTTGTATACAATTATGATTACTTATTTGTCGCTTCGCATCAGACATTTTTTAATTTTTTAGTTACAATTAGATACTTTGCAATTTTTTAGTTACAATCCACATCAGATTTTGAATAAAAAATGGGTTCGCGCTCTACAGAAAAATAAATTGCGCAGAAACTTCTCATGGACACTACAGACTTTTTTTCCAACTACTATTCAACCAAACTTTTTAAAACATACAACCCTAATAAATCCTACACAAATGCAATTAAAACACACAATTCTTACATTGTTTCAGAAGAATAAATCGTTTTTCTTAATCTCTCTGGTTCTGCTCTTTTGCTCGATCTAGACGAAGATGCACCCCTTCGATTCGAAACACCACCTCATGCGAATTAACCTCCTTCACTCGATGACGATGATCTCTCCATTTTCTTCGTCTTTTTCTTTATTTCGACCGGTTTTCATCCATTTTGTTTGTTTTCGTGTTTGAGTTCGCGTTCTCCCCTTCGCTCTTCTTTCTGAATTGAAGGCTGAATAAAAACTCTAACATTCACTTTTACTTTAAAAATCCCTAATTTTTACTTTCTCGAAATATTCAACCTACACGCATAATTAAGGGTACCGAGATCTTTTCAATTTTTAAAAGGGTATTTTTGACTTTCTGCTAATTCTTTATATTTTTAATTGTGTACTTAAGAAATCCATGCGATCCAAGTGGATCATTTGATTAAAATGTCCCAAAGGATGGGCAAAGGTCACATACCTTGATTTTTTGGATATTCGGATTTTGTCTTTGTTTGCACGGGTTTTAAAAAAAAACATTATCTCGTTTTCGTTTTTGTGAAGCTCGGATATCCATGACTCGGATACCTATCACTTAATTAGATTATCTGTGATTATCCGAACCTTTTCAAATCTTTAGAAACCGTTGATTTTTGTTGATTTCAAAGATATTTTAGTAATTTAATTTGAAAATATATTTAATAATTATTATAAATATATTAAAATGTCAATAATATAATCGTCATTTTATTAATATCCGAATATTCAAAGATACCCATTGTTGTTCAAACAAAACCTAAACTGGAATCCGCAATCCAAATTTTTGGTCTCATTAAATCCATTTTCATCTTCTTTATATAACGACTACCGGTATTCCGATTACCGGTAAGGACGAGTACCCAACGGTTTCAAGTAGCCGTGTTACCCCCACACCAAGCCCATGAAAATCTGAAAATGTGGACCGCTTGCTTTTTCCATTTCAGACTTTTGCACAAAAATTTTAGCCCATAATTCATTTCATTTTTAATCAAACCCATTGCAATTTATATTGCCTTTGGTTATTATAAATATATGCCAAACCAAATAATAACAACAATAAATACATGTTTTTTTTTTTTCTTGTTTTGTCATATATCTATACTAACATCATCTCACCAACAAATACAAATCTATAAGATCCAAATTAAGGAAACGAATCCGAAATCAGAAAATCATACATTCTTAGGAGCTTGAGCGTTGCCCTTACCATTCCCGAGCTCGAACCCATTCTCGAACTCGGAATCCTCCATGAATCTCGACCAATACCAATGCGACCTCCACACCCGGTTCATCTCCTCGATCGGAATCCCTTTCGTCTCGGGCAAGAACACGTACACGAATATCGACATCACCAGCACGAAGAAGGCGAAGAACAAGAAGAGCCCGAATTTCAGATGGCAGAGCATCGTCAAGAAGATCTGAGCCACGATGAAGGTGAAGATCATGTTCACCGACACGTTTATGCTCTGCGCCGCCGACCGTATCTCCAGCGGGAAGATCTCGCTCGGCACTAACCATCCGAGCGGTCCCCATGACCATGCGAACCCCGCTACGTATATGCATATGAACGTCACCACCACGATGGCGTACCATTTCGGAAGCTCCCCTGTACATATACATATATAAGGTTATTATCGTGACTATATATATATATATATATACGCACACGATTGTACTATACGATGTGATATCGAAAACCCATTTCTCTATTTTCTCACCTGGTGTTCCATCTATCCCGAACCTGGCTCCAATGCATGCCGCAACCACAGCCTGCAACGATACCAATATATCAGAGAAGACCACGATCATACTATCTTTAGATATATATTCTTAAGATTGTTCTTTATATTTGTAAATATGTAATCCTAGACCTTGAATGCACTGTTTGTAGGGATACTAATAATATTATAGATATAAAAAATATATATATATCACTGCCGACGTTTTGACGTATCAAAGCAATGTATGCACCATGGATAAGATCTTGATCGTGTCATGATCGATTGCATGGATAGTTACATGCAATCCAAACCCTACTTTCGAAATCTCATCCGCCAAATCGTGTTACTTGTACTCCAAGTCCCGTCTCTAACTTAAACATTTATAAGTTCGAAAACCAAGATCGTTTCTGGTCATTACCTGACAGATGAGCATCTGGGTCCCGCCTTCGAGGAAAAGAAACCTTCTTCCCCACTTGTCGACGCCATAGATAGAGACCAAAGTTGCAGCAACGTTGACAGAGCCAGTAACGACTGCGGACATGAGCGAAGCATCTGTCGTGAAACCGATCGTGTTGAACAGAACTGGCGCGTAGAACATAATAACGTTAATCCCTGTCAACTGCTGAAAAAACGGAATCATGATCGCCATTGTCAGATGCGGTCTGTATTTCCTCCTCAGAAGATTCCTCCATGGATGCTCCACCATCTGAGATGCTTTGCTCGCGGCGACCAGGTCGTTGAACTCTTCGCTGACGTCATCAACGCCGCGGATTCGCCGGAGCTTTTTCTCGGCTTTGTCGTGTTTGCCGCGTTCGATCATGGAGTTTGGAGTGTCGGGTAGGACCAGAGCTCCGACGGTGATGATAAGGGCGGGGACCACCGCTCCGCCGAGGCTGAGCCGCCATCCCCAGCCGCCGTGGATCTTGGCGAAGAAGTAGTTCAGGACCTCGGCCACGAGGATTCCGATGGTGATCGACAGCTGGAACCCTATGTTCAGTGCTCCTCTGTATTTGTACGGTGCCATCTCCGACAGGTACAGTGGCACTGACTGTAAATACAGAAAGAAACATGATCATTAACATTGTCTGAAACTCAAAACTAGCTTTAATACTGTCTGAATCTGATGTTTCCTCCATTGATTGATGGTTAGACCCTTTTTTTTTTGAAATTTGGATTTGTGCGTTTTCCAACGAAAACTAAAGGGTCATTTTCATAAGAACGAAAGAATACAGGGGCAAGACTGTAAACACATGGAGGGACAGGGTCGATAACCATTGTCTAAAATCTTCAAACGAATCTGAAGACAGATAAGATTCGTGATTTTATTATAAATAAAAAGATATGTAATGATCAGAAAAATAAAATAAAATATGTGGAAATATCTACAATTAATTAATAATGTTGTTAAAAGGGCGAGGAAAAATGGGGAGAGATATAAAGAAAGAGACACAGGGTTCAAAAAGGGATGGACAGACCATGTGGATAGGGATGAAATTAAAGTCAATGAAAAAAACGAGTAATATATTATGCAAACTTGGAATATATATAACGTTATTATTGTTACCAGTTGTATTTAAATAAAAATAATAATGCAAGAAAAAACAAATAATGCAGAAAAGACAAAACAGAGTATACTCTGTTCGAAAACAGGGCATGAACGAACCTGATTGGCGAAACCGATACCGAAACCGAGCAACATACGACCGACGATGAGCATCCAGACATGTTCGGCGAAGCCATTGATGAGGGCTCCGATACAGAACAGAACACCGCCGAAGAACATCGACAGCCTCCGCCCGAATCTACGGGTGATAGTGGAGGCGACGAGGGAGGAGACGAGGGCCGCCAGGTACAGAGACGAAGTGAACATCGTCAGGGTCTGGCTGTCGTACTGACAGTACTGGTTCGTCGACTTCTCCTTCTGCTGTTTCCGATACACTTTCGGGAAGAACTTCTCTAAGAACGACGGCATTGACGTCACCCCACCTGCAGAATCATCACCAAATTTCAGAATTTCAGTTTTCTCAAAATACCCATTTGAGTTTTTCTTCTGTTCAAGTACAGATCGAGAGATTTCAGCTTTGATTTTCGAACATTTTGAGGGCTTTCGTGTCTTTGATCTTATGTTTTTGTTGTGCTTCAGTTGAAACACACGGAAACAGAGGTAATGAGATATGGGGATGTTCATGACTCAAAATAAACGTACGGGTCGATTTCGTAAATAAAAAATATCGAAGCTTTCAACAGTTTTGGGGGTGTTGAGAAACGAAAGAGACATACGGGGCGAAACTGAAAATTTTGAAAGAATAAAACGGAGATTCTCACCGGAGATTCCGATATCGTAGCCAAAGATGAGACCGCCCATGGCGGCGACGATACACGTCACAGTGACGAAGGGAGTGAGTTTGCCGGGATACTCCTTTTGGCCACTCCCGACGACAATTCCACCGACGGCCGGCATGTTTATGATTCTTTCAAAAACACCCCCAAAGTTTTTGTTATTGATTTTCCAACCCTTTCCTCTGTGGGAACAGATAGTGAGAGACGGGAAATTCAAAGAGAGGATAGACAGGTTTGGAGGGCTGAAGGTCTGCGTGTGTATATATAGAAACTGGAAGGTGAGAAACCCCATGTTCGGCTCTCCTCTCATATTTTCTTAGCTGTGAATTCAATTTAATTCATTAATAATAAATAAATAAACCTGTCCATATCATCACAATAATTATATAAATATGTTAGTATTTCACTTTTACGATAATTGAGATGTTTTCTCTTAGCAACCTGTAATGACCGTTGTCTATATAATAATAATAATAATTGCATGCTGCATTATTAACTTGGGGTCATGTGAATTTATTAAGTATGGACTAACACTGTTATATTCTATGCTGCCATCATGATTTTTAAAATATGGTCAAACTCTTATTATGTTACAGTAACGTTAAAACTGTTCAGTCGTTTTCTCAAAATAAAAATGATTATGTTTTGGAATATACATATATATATATATATGTCGATTCAAAAGGCACAGATATGAAAACGTAGAAAGAAAAATATAGTATATGCGTGTGAATGGATTATATATATATGTATATATATTGCGAGTGCATGACGTGCCATGTACTCATCTAGCAAGTTGATGACCACACCACTTGATGGTCCTAAAGTAACGAAAATAGTAAATTTCCACTTCCATTTAATTTCCTTTTTCCTCCATTTCGAGATTCGTAGTGGACTAACGTTAGAGCTTTTCATATTGTAATCTGTTTTATTATTTTATTATTTCTTTTTAATACACATAAAACCGCTAAAACAAAATCAAAATAAGTGTACGTTATAAAAATTATGATAATTTGACACTTTTTGTTGGTTGGTAATTTAGCATTTTGTTTCAAGTCTTCTCCATTGTGTTTTTTTATTTTTCTAATATAAAGACATCGTTTAACAATATCTACGTCAATTATCTAGCATTTTTTTATATTCAAATATTTAAAACCAATAACTAATACATGTGAAGTATATCGTAAAATAATAATATAAGTATTACTTTTTTTCCCAACTTTCGTGCTTTGTGAATGTAAGATGAGGTCGGTGGATTGGAGGCAAAAATTAAATTCAACACGTCATATAATAATCAGAAAGGCATGAATTTCATTCGACGGTCCAACTAATTCCTGTTATCCTTATCGGATATATATACATAAGATTTTGGATAATGTTGGAATTAAATTGCTTCATGGGATGTAGTAAGGTTTTGAAATAACGTGATCCTAAAAGCCTCTTTACAGACAATAAAATAAAGTTCCGTCATAAAAAGCATGACTAAACTATTTATGTTTCCGTCTAGAAAAAAATAATGTTCCACGTGGAATACTTATCCTTTTTCTCAGATGGTTTTTATTTATCAAAGTTCGTCTAATGATGTAAATGCATGTTTAAAATAAAATAGAAATATCAATGGATACGATAAATTTAATTTTAATATTTAGATGCTAATTTAACATGATAAATTTTGCCAAAAAATATAAGGAAAAAAGACACATACGCTCAACATTTTTTTTTGTTAGAACGAGTTATCAACTATCTAATATGTATATTTATATATCCAGTAACAAAAATCTTCAATGTTTTCTTGCATGAAGGACAAATATTTTCTTCATCTTTTTTACAAAAAAAAAAAAGGAAAAGGAAAAAAGTAGGCGTAAAATAGTAAAAATTAAGGAAAAAGGGGTAAAATGGCAATTGTCAGAAGTTTTGGCCTAAAACAAAAATAATAATTTTCAAAAGGGCATGTCGGTATTCCCAGATTCGCGGCAAAGGTTCAGGAAACTCAGATTTGCTTCTTACATGACATCATCCTCTCCAAATTACAGAATTGCCCCTAACTTCCGAATTTTATCTCACCAATCCCAATTCTTCAATATTTCCTTGTTCATTATAGGAAAGGAAACAACTTCAAATAAATAAAAAAAATTCAAAGAACTAGCATTATATTTTACTTTTATAGATAGGAAAAAGTTATACATAAGATCGAATATAAAAAAGTTGTAAAAGGAACGTATCCGAGGTGTCTTTTTTTTTTCTAAGTAAACGCAGCAGTGACGAGTAAAGAAAAAAAAGGGATCAATAAAGAAGTAAAGGATAAATATAAAAGAAAAAATGTAAAGAAAAAAAAAGACAAGGGTAAAGGAAAAAGAGAGAAAATCCAACAGGGCCCAATAGGTTTGTGATTTTTTTTTATATGTTTTTATACATCCTATAAACCACGTTTTGATATTAGATTCGGATCCAAAATAATTTGATTCGATTTTTTCGGTTTTACAAAAATAGATATCAATCGATTATTATATTATATTCGGTTCGGTTTGGGATTGGTTTCGGTTTTTATTAAAAAAATAGATTTTAAAAAAAAAATCGATTTTTTGAATTTTTTTAAAATTCAATCCGGTTCTATTCAATTCTAAAAAAATTCGATTTTTTTAAAATTAATAATATTCAAAGATTTTGAACAGTTCAAACACATTTTTTGTTCGATACAGTTTTGAGAAAGTGAACAGAAACGACCATCCCTATAAATAATCTCGTGAAAAGGAACTCAGAAATTATGTATATCAAAAATAATTTTATAAATACTAAATACAAATTGGAAAATTTTAATTATTAGGTCGATAAAAGACACAAAACCAGCTAGCTCGTAGGAACTGAACAAAATTAGACATTATGCCATCTCAGCCATGGTTTCAATTCTTTTCATTCAGTTGGAATTTTATTTTATTTTTTAAAGGCAATATATACAAGTTGATATTTATCCTCAAATGTTTTTGTAGGGTGGTGTTATCCCATCTACGTTTCAGCCGAAAATAAAAACAATTTCTTTTTGAATCGTGGGGAAAGCATCATTAGAGTGAAGATTTTTTGTAAATGGGACTCAAAAAAGTCAAAGTCAACTTGGGGAGGGTCCGATGCGTTTGGCCGCACCTATGCGCACACAAATTAAACGTTGGGCGTTTGCGATTGTCCAAACGCCATTTTCCACACGAGGTTTACTTTCTCTTGTATTCTTGTGGGTCTAATCTTTACTCGAATTCTCACATTTAGTGACTTTTCAATCCTCCTTATATCAGAGTGTGGACGTTTCGATACATGTTTTTTAGAATCAAACGGTGTAGAATCAAAAAACTTGATATCATTTTTGAATTTTTTGAAATCGAATCGAATTGAACCAAATTTTAAAAAACCAGAAAAACCGATTTTAAAAAAATATATATATAAAATTTTCTTAGTAAAAAACGAAACCGAATCGACCGAATATAATATAATAATCGATTGATACATATTTTTATATAATCGAAAGAACCGAATTTGAACCGAATTTTTGGTAGACTCCTACTTTTATATGAATTATTATTATTTTTCAATCCAATTCAGCTTAAATATAAAAAGGATTTAAACATAATGAATCTAATAACAAATAGTTATATTCAACTTATATTATGGGATTCAAATAATTCCTACCCTTAAACGATAAAGAACTAAACAAATCAACCATGTTGACACATCATTCCTGAAATGTAAGAAAAAAAACATATAATTATGTATTATATAAATTCAATAAGTTAAGTCGGATTTTATATAAATTCAATGAGAAAGAGTTGACTGTCCAGAGCAAAATCATGTTCATTGCGTGGCTGAAGGCTGAAAATATGGCCAAATAATTTAAGGCATTGCGAGACATTATCCTTCAACAGCTTTGACTTTTTTAATAAAATAAAATCTCGACGATTTATCGCATATACACTAATAATATAATACGGAAATTCTTACAATATTTGTATTCATATATCATGTTCTTTGTATTTAGTTCCACTGAGGAACGCATATTTTTTTTTATCTTCATATATTGATTGCCCTGTAACGCTTAATATAAATTTCCATAACAACAATGCCTAGAAATCAAACATAAATAAAAAGAATACAACATAAAATACAAGAAGAGTTAAGAATGAGTGATATTCTTGTGATACTGATACAACGCCCGTTCCATTTTCAATGAAAAAAAAAGATATTACTAAAAACATTTGTTTAATCATATGTTTAATTATAAGTTTTGAATATATAATCAAATTTGGATTTGTCAGTAATTTGTCAAAATTATCTTTGAAATATAATTGTCGTTTTTTTGGGTCATAGACTTTTTGAAAAATAATTACAAACTATAATGTAAAATTTTTATAGTTACTCCACGGTCACGGACTGATATGATGAATTGCAAACTATTGTTTTAAAGGGTTTCATCATACCAAACACAAGCTTACAAAATTTTGATGTTCTGATTATATATACACACACACACACATATATATATATATATAATTGTTAATGAAGTTATATGTCCTGAAGTCGACTTTAGAGACATTGCAAGATTTCACTAAATTTTACACCTAAATAAATTAATAATTAAGTAATCAAACGTTGTTGACAACTAATCAATCGACTAATTAAATAATTAAATAATTAACAACTGATTAAATTAGTGATTGTGTGCATTTGCAAAATATCCGTTGTTTGTTCCTCTCCCGCAGTTTGTTTGTTTGTTTGTTTTCACACCGACCCCACCAAATTATTATATAAAAAAAAATATTATTCCCAAAAAATAAAATATCACAAATTTGAAATATTTTAGCTAATTAATTACAGGTGGGTTCTTTTGTCTTGTGCCCATAACGTGAAATATTCGAATAGGCCGCTCCTTGCATTGGGCTGCTCTATTTGGCCCATGTTTTATTTATAAGTGAATTTCTCGTTGGAAAAATCGAAATGAACCGAACCGACATTTTACGTGTAATTATAAATTAACTAATTTATTATTTTTCGAGACAATTAAAACCTTATGGAATATAAAAAAAATTATAGTGTAGGCCGAAACCCGAAATGTATCTCGGGTCGTATAGGCTCTTTTTTCTTTTTTTTCTTTCCATTTTTCCCATTTGTAAAAGAATCTTGACACTTTCTTTAATAGGGTACACATTTTACCCAATTTTATAAAAGCGAAATTGGGATTTTTTTTTTAAAAAAAAAATTAAGGATTGAATCTGGATCATATAATTTTCATTCAATGTTATCAATATTGATAAGTAATAATTTAGTACGTATTTTACAATTGATTGGGGGGATTATATATATATATATATATATATATATAATATAAATATATATATACACACTCCTTGGTGTATAGATTAGGGGTGGGCACGGATCGGATACCCGGGAAAATCGAGAGATTTGGATTCGGATCCGGGAGACTCGGGGATTTAACTATAAGA